GCTCCCCCCCCCCCCCCCCCCCCACCCATACAACGGGAGTCATTTGTATGAACAGTTTGCATGGCTCCATCCGTGACGTCTTGTGCATTGTCCTCACTGTGGTATTTTTGTGCAGGAGTTTAAGGAAGGACGCCGCGCCAGTCACACAGCACCTCAGGTTTTGTTCAGCCATCGAGAACCTCCTCTGGAGTTAAAGGACACAGACGCAGCAGTGGGAGACAACATCGGGTATATCACGTTTGGTAAGCATGCACCACCTTCACCCAACCTGATCTAGACTGGGGAGTCCTAGAAGACACTTTTTAGGTTTCGTCTTAGTCCTCTCCAGCCTATTACTGGCCCGCCCCTTTAATTCATTGGATTTCAGTTCTTGGCATCATGGAAGCTCAGCATCCCAAGTTGGCATTACCTAGGCAGTCTGCAACACCCCCTCCCCCAGACTGACACCCCCTCCTGCAGTCTGCAACACCCCCTCCTGCAGACTGACACCCCCTCCTCCAGATCCATCTCATCAAGCAATTTTTGATATTTGCATAACTTTTTACCGCTGCTTGCATCAGGACTGAGGGCTCCTGAGAATGTACTGGGGCAGGGGGCTGTGATGTTTTCTGTACAGCACCCGGCCGGCCCCTCCAACCAGCCATGACCTGCCTGCATTGCACAGAGACCCAGTGATGACTTCACTGGGTCTTAGGTCAGGTATGTAATGAAAATGGAAAGGTTTTATTTAAAAAGAAAAGAAAAAATAGAATTATGATGGGGGGGGTGGGGGGGGGTGGGAGGAATCAGGGAAGGCATCATAAAAGCAGGTTAAACATCCACTGTAATAGAAATCCTGTCGTTGTCCATTGTCATCCATCTTCAATATTCTAACTGTTCTCATTTTCATCCCCGCAGTGCTCTTTCCTCGTCACACCAATGCCAACGCAAAGGATAACACCATCAATCTCATTCACACATTCCGGGACTACCTGCATTACCACATCAAGTGCTCCAAGGTAAGAAGTCCAAGCTGCCTCGGGGTTATGGGTTCCAGATCTAAACTTAAGTGCACCTGTCCCCACACCATGTGGTGCTGTGAGGGTTGGAGACTAGAATTTGGGATATTTTCACTTGCTTTGGGTAGCTCTGGTGAATCTCCTGTAGTAATATGTTAAAGTGGACTGGTGGGGATTCCTGTTGTGTTTCGGGTACAGGAAGTGAGGGCAAATCTCCTCCTCAGGGGGAGTATATGCTGTAATAAAAACATGATGGAGGACATAACTCTCCCCCATTCTATCCAAAAAGAGCTGGATTTCCAATATTTAGCTGTCAGGAGTGTGTCATGGCAGAATATCATGCAGCAGTCTGCTACAAATTCTATATCTATATATTGATCTGTGTGTATATACGGCCTTACAACAATTGGAAATGCTCCTATTCGTGTATCAGACCCTGGACGTCCTCACTGTACTAAAACTCCACTACCGTGTTTCCCCGAAAATAAGACGCTGTCTTATATTTTTTTTGGCTCAAAAAAACACACTTGGTCTTATTTTCGGGGGAGGTCTTATTTTTTTATTTTTTTTTTATTTACAACAATCCACACTTATTCATGTACAAAAATATGGTGATCAGGGCAATCAGGGGTGCCGTACCTTTCCACGAGCAATTTGCTAACCAATCGCTGGCCAGAATGGGCGAAGAGCGCTTTCACTATCGATGCCTCGCAGGTGGAGTGCATTTGGTATCACTCCGCCTGTGACAGGAGCCGGCGCTATAGAGGAAACATCGACTTATGCGGCTCTGCTCCCTCCGCTGCCGCCTCGCTTCCTCTAGCGCTGGCATGCGTTGGCATCGCTGATTCTCTCCCGCAGCTCTTCAGGTTCCCCCTTATGCCACCACCGTCCCTGGGAATGGTCACAACTAGGTCTTATTTTAGCAATTCCCAAAAATAGTACTAGGCCTTATTTTCGGGGAAACGGTATATAATTGGTGACTGTGATGATTATAATTTATTATTATACAGGATTTATATTGCTCAGCGCTTTACAATATAAGGAAGACATTACAATCACAATACAATTCAAGACAAGATGGTAAGGAGGGCCCTGCCCCTGAGGGCTTACAATCTAAAAGGGAGGGGCCAGTGATACATGAGGAGGTAGCTGTGGGGATGAATTGTTTGAGATCGTGATGATTACTGATTGCAGTTCTTTGTACTCGCACTTCAGTACGTGTTCCGGATCGTCTTCTGTTTTTCTCATTATATATCTTTCCCACCAGGCTTACATCCACACCCGCATGAGAGCCAAGACATCCGACTTCCTGAAGGTCCTGAACCGAGCTCGTCCCGACGCAGAAAAGAAAGAAATGAAGACTATAACGTAAGTGTCATTTAGTGTCGCAACCATTCGGGTCTATCCATTAAAGTGTATCTAAACCTAAGAATAGATGAGGTGGCTGCATTCGTTTTCTTTTTGGCTTTTTTTCCTCCTTTTTGTTTTCACCTGGTGATCCTGCCAGTAACACACTTCCTGTCTTAGGGTGACAACGCTCTCTTTACTGTATCTATTGAAGGACACTGTCACCCTAGGACGGCACTACAGGACAGCTTCCCCTGTCATAACTAGGGTTGCCACCTTTTCTTTAAGCGAAACCCGAACACTCTAGCGACGTGCTGACTTTTTTTGGGAGAATGAGTCATGGCTTATTCATATGTAACTATCACAGTTGAGACTATTTTCAGTAGGGGCCAGTAGCCCTTATCTTAATTTTGGTTGCCCCTGCCTGCCTGACATCTTGTGTCCGGGTTTCTGCTGCCATGAAACCCAAACACAGCATTCAAAACCCGGACTGTCCGGGTGAATCCTGGACAGGTGGCAACCCTAGTCATAACACTGAGTTAGATGTGTATTCTGACTCCGACTGTTGTGATAGCGATATATCCCTTGCTGAGACCTCTATGCCTGGCCTGTATAAGCAGATTCAATCACTGAGGACAATCGTTGTCAGATAGCTGAACTTGCCAATACCGTTTCGTTCACAAGGGTTGCTTTATTCTGTACATCAGACAACAGGATACAGCTGATGGTTTTCAGTATTATGCGGTCAAAAGATGATGCTTTTCCTAGCGTACTATGCAGAATACATGTGTCCTTGTTACATGTGGCTGTTAGCTGTGGCCATGACACAGGAAGTACTGACCAACAAGAAGGGTGGAGCATACATACAGAGGAAATACATCACAAAGGGAACACAGAACATGTTTGATACCAAGAAAGGCCACTAGATGGCAGCATAGGAACTAACATATAAAACGTCCATAGAAAATGGTATAGAGAAACAATCTATATAAACTCTCATCTATATAAAACTGTTATGCCCCATTGGGGTAGCACAATGTGTATAGTCCATAGTCAAGTTCTGTAGAACATTTGCTGAGAATCGATTATGAAGAAGATATCAGCTTAGAAGATTTCTGTCCGGACTTGTAAACAAAGCCATGTGTTCGCTCTGACTGGCTGTCATAGTAGTCACATGATCAGGAACCATGCTGATGATCGGTTCCTTACTGCTGTATCTGTCAGGGTAGCTTACAGACATAGCACTGTTACAGAACTCCCCATACCATCAGATGTTTATGAACATATCCCCAGGGGCTAACAGCGTAAAATGTGTTGCTCTTAAGCCCATGATCAGGTCATTATCTGAAATATCAGGTGCTGGATGCCAGCAGGGGCTCGTCCTCTGCCCCAGGTGCCATACAAATCCACAAGAGAAGGAAGCACTTTGTGTAAGATTCAAATGCTGGCAATCTTTATTGATACAAAGTGAACAGGGAGTTTGCTTTGTCTGGAGTCAGTGGAGGAAGCCTGGGACCCGGGGGGCTTTTCTCCCACAAGACTGGGCTTAATTGTAGAGGTCCTCGGGTATTACGCTGAGGAGCAGCAACAGATTGTGCGAGAGAAGTGATTAGGGATACCTTTTGTAGTTGGTGAGGGAATCGCAAGAAAAGCAGAATATCAAACTCTGCAACTATACAGACTAGGAAGGGAAGGGGCTCAGCTGGGTTCCAGTTGCTGTCTACAGGTGCATAATATCAAGATATGACTGTTCATACATCTGCAGTGATTGTCATTGGAGGATAAAGTGCAGGTTCTCCAGAACTGATCTGTCAGGAAGATAATAAGTCTTGTATACCCAAAATCATCATTTCCTCATTCTGCACCCTGAAAGGTTTCTGTACTCGGGACATTGGCCAAGTTTGTCTGCCATTGTTGTCAAAGGTGATACAGATCTTATCAGCACATAGTTTTTGTGGTCAGGGATGTTTTATGTTTGCTTAGTTATTATGTCGGTGGTATGCACAAACATCATTCAGCTTTTATTCCTTTAACTCTACAAACTTTATTGAACTGGAACAAGGTTTAAAGGAGAACTACGAGGCGAGTGAAAATCACTCATTCTCATAGTTCGTGCCGATGTGTGACATTTAAACTGTCACACGTCGGCTCTATAGATCAGGAAGTGAGCGAATGCATACCGGCGCTCGCTCACTTCTCGATCATCTCCCTGCAGAGAGCCGTGACTGTCAGTTACCCCACTGCCTCTAGATAGGCAGAGCCCAATGCCACTCGGGCAGCTGGGTGGATCTCCACAGCATTGTCAGGATCCTTCCCGGCTGCGGTGGCCTCCGTATACTGAGCTTTGGGTCACGGGAGGACTCTAGTATATGTCCTCCCGTCACCCTTAGGACAACTAAGGGGAAAAACACTTAGCCCATAGTCCTCTTAAGTCTTGCAAAGTACAAGTTACAGCATAACTCCAGTCTGCTTCACTTAGCTCCACTCCAGCGGCCGCTAACACCATCGCTCGGGTTCGGCAGCATTTTAATTGGCCAGCCCGGGGGTTCTGTAACTCGTGCGGATGCACAGAGGAGTTAACGCTAAAAACTTTGGTTTTGGATAGAGTGGGGAAGGATTGGACTCCCTATCTGGTTTTACTCTCTGTTGGGGGGGGTGCGCTAAACAGGTTCTGACACGAGAGTGCCGCTGCCCTCCGCAGGTTCTGCATCACCCAGCCCGGCTCATAGCAACCCGGGACGCTTTGGCCAGAAAGGGAGCAGCCGAAAGAGATGGTGCATGAGGCAAAAGCCTCAGGCTGCCTTGCTAAAGGGTCGGCGCTGCATATCACCTGCTTTCATAACAAGCAGGTGAAATGAATGTGGTGGCTTTTGATAGGCTTGTCATTTTAGTATACAAGTATTTTGTATCTGGGTAGGTAAAGAACCTTCACACTCCATGCAGTTCCCCCTGTGAGAATTGAATACAGGACCCATGCACAAAGCTAATCGCTAAAACACTTTAGGCTCTATTTTATTGAACAGCAGAACTGATTCTTCTCTTTCTCTCTTTTCAGGGGGAAGACGTTTTCTTCTCGCTGACCCCGACATTAGCTGCTCCTCACTGCCTAAGCGTCAGAATTCCCAGGTGGAACGGTTCCCGTGGGGCGTGCAATCTGGGGTACAAATCCGTGAAATTCCATGTATTTGAAGCTGTGCTTTTGCCAAGACTGAAAAGTAATGAAACAGATCGGTGACCTTTTATCTTCTGTTTTATCGATATATTTTTTTTTTTTTCCTCCCGCCATGTCCTGCTTTCTGTCATTTTGTTTTCTTATTGAAAAGACAAAGTCCTGGTGAGCATACAGTTGTAAGAATCGAGAACGGTATGTTTTTCAAATTGTTAAATAAAATCTTTCTATCCACTTCCTGTGTCTGATTTTGAGTTATTGGAGAACAATTGTTAAAATAGACCTATGATCTAATGCACCATATAACCTCCAGCCTTCTTCATCTATAACCCTGGTGCCCAGCATGCAGCCCTCTGGTACATCGTGTGCAATCCTCGGGCAGTAGTGGGGGCATTGATTTGTAAAGGTGCTGTAATAACCGTGATCTCTAGCTGAAACGCACCTGTGGTTGGCGTAGTAGTAGGAGTCCGAAGTGGATCTTAGGCTGAGGATAAGGCGAAGACGTGGTCAGTCTGGCAGCGCGGTACGTAGTCGGGATCCAGGAGGGTAGCCGGGGACGCAGGAGAGTAGCCGGGGACGCAGGGGAGTAGCCGGGGACGCAGGGGGGGAGC